GTTCAGTTGTTCCTACTTTGCAGAGTCAGTGGGTGACGGGTCCCCTGTCCCTGCTGCCCAGCTGCCACCGGAGGCTGATCCATGGACACGTCCCCCCTTGTGTCTGAACAAAATGCCTCAATAAAACACCCCCAGCCTCAGGCTGGTCCTCAAAACGCAAGGTAGCTGTGAATCAGGGAGTTTCAGATGCTCTTGTGAACATCAGTGTTCTTTAGCGGCTGCAGAAATTGTAGCTTATGTTTTAATAAAACTACACGATTGATGGCAATGCTGAAGGTTCATGGTTTCACTTCCATAGTTTATCATGTAAAATTTTTAGTGTGACTGTAATTCACAGGACACTCAGACTGACCTCACCTTGATGAGGAGCATTCTCTAAGATGTCTGTGTGTATCTGTCTGTCTGTCTGTCTGTGTCTGTCAGAGGATCTGGAAACAGTTTGCCTGACTTTGACTTTGAGCAGCAGAGACAGGGCTCCTGTGGTCTGTGTAATAGTGTCCCTTCCCGAATCCTGTCTCTCAACTACAAAGCCTGTAGGAGTTGCTTACTGAGCTTTTTAAGAAAGAAATACTTTAAAGTTGCTCAGCCCTGCTCTGGAATGAGACGTGCCTGTACTTTATAATTAGGAAGTTGTGTGATGCGTGTGTGAGCATTTGCATCTACGTGCGTGTCCTGCTTTAAATTTTGTGTTCCTCTTAATGATGAACTTCTTAACTGTATGGATGTCTCAGAGCGGCATGGGGTGGAAGTCCCAGGTTAGTGCCCCCCGGCCACTGCTGAGGGCCAGTTGGGTTGCCAACACCCTCGCTGTTACAGGAGTGCCGAACAAATGCTGTTGTACAGTTTACGTAAGTTGTACGTGTGGAGTGTGCCTGTAAGAAAATTTTTAAGAAAGACAAATGCTAGGTGAAGGATTAGACTGCATTGCAGTTAATTTTTGAAGGAAATTTAAGTTTTTAAATTTATTTATTACCATCAACAGAGGTATCAGCACACGATTCAGAAGGAAAGGAGAGATCCTCACACCACTTTCCCCCGTCGCTGTCCCCTAACTGGAGATGCCATCTCGCTGCCCCATCTCTTCCTCCCGGAGACGCGGGTCTCTGGTCTCGGCATCTGTGTGCGTAGGACGCCCTTCCTTCGGGTGGGCTCCGGGCTCCCGCGCAGCACTTTGCGGGCTAAGCAGGTGTTTGTTGGTGCAGAGCGACCGGGCTGACAGTCCTGTTC